GTAATCTTTTGTATATAGAAATAAATATTAGTCGTTGGTTTGTCGTGTTTAGTTTTCCATAAAGCTTTTTCGGTCACATTGCGAAGCTCTTCAGTAAAATTACGAGGTGGCTGGGGGCCTCTGGAGAGACTAAACAGGCAAATAAACACTTACGAACAAACAAAAACGACAAAACAATGCCTAATAACTATTTCTATAATGATGCCAATGCCTCTACAGCACTCCCTACCATTGTTTTTTAAATAAATACCCAAACGTATCTTTTAATTATATCTCACGCCTTTGATATTTATATTACCAGCAATTGCATTTATGAGTTACCAATTTCATTTGTGAGTCAAAGTGTTTTAAATGAGTTCAACTGAATCTTCTCCAAAACTCTACGGATTTCCGTAAAAAGATCTTCAAATTTCGTTTAAAAGCCTTTTCTTTGAAAACTTTGATGGTTATGGGAAGAGGGTGACGTGGAACAGAAAAGATACACCATACAAATTATAAAACTAATTAGTATAAGAAAGAATCTGCTATTATGTTTACCCATTGTATTTTATTAAATACTTAGTTTGTTTTAAGTTTTCAATAATACTTAACTCAAGGGCGTTGGTGTTCCTGTTTCCTCGCTGGAAAGGGAGATCTGACGCCGACGTATACTTCGGCTTGGAGGGGGAGAGGATAAACGTCTCAAGGTATCTCCTCCATCCGGAATAAGCTAAAACTTTCATACCGGTCTCCCGACATGTGTGGTAGTATAGAGAATATTGTGTGTGTGTGTGTGTGTGTGTGAGTGTGTAAGTAAAGGGTGAGTAGGATAGAGTGAGGAAGATAAAGGAATGATCGAACGGTCAGTGGTTTGCGGGGTGCTTCTCCAGCCTGGTATTGACCGTAGAAACCACAGAAATCTGTGGATATGAGCGGACGGCCGTTAGAATTGTCCTCGAGGCCTAATACAACCTAACTTTCTAGCAGATGTTGAAAATGCACCACCGTCGGGTCTAAAACGCTAGAACATTTCGTTACGAGTCGCTATCTCAACCGATTGCTGGTAAGGCATTTCCTCTGATATGCGATGGTGATTGTCCGACGATATAGAGAGGGAGAATGATGGAATTGGGTTAGGGATCAAAAGCCAGAAGGAACGATTTCTAAACGCTTGTCCAACCTCCCCATGCATCTTCGGGCGTTTGAAGTGTGGAAGCTAATGGTGATAAGCGAGAGCTCTGACGACTTCGTGACTTGTCAGCGCAAGCAGCACTGTGTTATGCGTTCTTCCCAGAGATACTCTCAACAACGTGCTACATCGCGTCATTTATGCCCAGGGTGTATCAGTTGTGTGTTAATCCACGTCCGTGCTAAGACCCCATGTTCCTCACAGCGCGCTGCAGCGGCCACTGCAATAGATAGGACGCGCCATTCTCTAAGCTCAGCCCTCGCTCTCCAAATCCGGCTCGGGCAGTGGCCGTGCACTGATAAAGAGGCCTCGGAGAAGGACCGTCGTTTCTGCTAGCTGTGAACATCTGCAGGCGCATGCGCACTGAGAATCGGGGCTGAGAGGAAGGGGAGGGGGTCGGCTGATGGGCGGTCCGGGCCGTGCACGGGGCGCGGGCTGGGCGGCAGGCGGAGCGTAAGGTGGGTAAGGTCACGACAGGGCGGACGGTAAAGCTACATGCGCACTGGATCGGTACAGTACGGTACAGGACCGGTCGGACAGCAATTTTTGTAAATCTCGCGCGCACTAGGATGGGACGGGACGCGACGGGACGGGACGAGACGGGACACACACTTCGGACACTTTCGGGCACTTCGCTTCGTGTCTTGTACGAAGGTTCGGCTTCATAATTAAAGTAAGGAAGCAATCGCATTAGGTTCATTTTTAATGGATGAAGAAGGAAATTAAACAAGAAGTCTAATAAAGTCCAAGATCCCTTCTTGTATGAACAGAACAATTGAATTGAATTAATGCCATATTTTACGAGGCGAGACTCAGGGTATGAGGCCTGCTCTTCCGTCTGAGCAGGCAAATTCCGCTACGCTTATTTCACCAACGATAGTGACAAAAGAGGAATTTCACGCAGTACAACTCGACCTGGTTCAAGATTTAATATTATGTTAGATCTTTAGGATGTCTCACGATAAATTTGAAGATAAATTGGATATTTTGTAAATATACTATATAAATAAATGTATTGGTAACACAATTAAATTGAACCAAAGGACGAATTCACAATGGCAATTCTATATTTAGAAACTTTCGAAAATAATCGGCGCTATAATTTTCGCAAGCTACATACAAAAAATTACATTGATTAATGAACTAATGAATCAGTACAAAACATGGCATAATTTATTCACCATGCACAAATAAACCAAGTTTCACCAACATTGCACAGCTTCTTATAAATACCTAGAAATTCAAATTTCGCAAATGTTACTGCCTGATTCACATAGTTTAGTTAACCAATTAAATTAGACTTCCTAACAACGTAATACATTAAATAAAACGTTAAATCCCGCAGTACAACTCGGGATAGTTCAGTATCAACATGATTAAATTAGGACACAATCATAAATGATCCACACACTTCACACAACCTCACAACTGAAACGGCGCAACGACTGTTCTTCCGATCCGCGTCGATGACGTCATCAGTCCGTCAAAATGCCGAAAAGATATTTCTTTCAGACTTTTTGCAAACGGTGGAAGCTGGGTATCATCGTCTCCCGTCCGTGACGGCCAAGGGCGCGAACCCTAACGGAAATCAATGTAATCAATTTTTAAAAAATTCCGTCCGTCCCGTCCGTCCCGTCCGTCCCGTTCGTCCCGTTCGTCCCGTCCGTCCCGTCCGTCCCGTCCGTCCCGTCCGTCCCGTCCGTCCCGTCCGTCCCGTCCGTTCCGCGTCCGTGCTATTAACGCAGCGGACGAAAGAACCGAGTAGCGAGAAGACGGTAGCTACTTGTGTAGGGCGGCTGCGAACGGCGGGCGCGGCGCGCAGGGCGCGGGCGGGCGGCGAGGCGGAGCGGGCGGAGCGGGCGGCGAGAGCGGCGGCAACTGATGCGATCGAAGAAGGTGGTGGTTGTTGAGGAAGAGTGGGCCCGGAGGACCGAAATGGGAGGCGCGGAACCGGCGTGCAAGGGGTGCGCGGTGCGGGCTGTCGATTGGCGGATGTGTAGGTGGGGCGGCGGGTCAGGCGGTGTTGTGAGCGGCGAGCAGGGCTGCGGGTGAGGTGGTGGGAAGGGCGGTTAGCGGGAAGTCGGGGAGAAGGTTAAGGAGGAGAGAGACAGAGCAAGCAATGTACAGAGTGGGTGAGAGCAATGAGCGGTCACAGGAAGGTAGGGAAGGGGGGTAAAGCGTGGTAAATGATACAGTGGAGGACCAGGCAAGACGGAGGAGAAGTGTATAGATAGGTAGGGCGGTCGCTGAGGCTTGCGGGACGGTAAAATCACCTGTAATATTTTTTAGTTTTTAATATTTGTACAGAAATGTAATATGTACTGCAAAATGAACCAGCGATACAACACAATGAGTACATTATGAAGTGTTTTCATCCTAAATAATTTATTGCATATATAAATTATTGTTCTTTTCATTCATGATAATTTATAAAAAAAACAATGTATCTAAACTGTTGAATTTAAATCATGTTGTAGTTCTCAACTTATATTTTCCTGGAAAATGAATACAAATCCGATATTTACATTAAAATTTAACTTTGAATGCAATTGAAAAATGTAGTACGTTTTGACAAAATGAGGAGTGAAAGAAACCTAGTCGGTGAAAATACAAAGAATTTCGCTAGAGCAGATGTAATCATCTTCCTTCATTATTTTCAAATAAATCCAGTTATCGACGTTAAACCTTATTTATCCGTGAAGGAACACGTGAAATTTTCAAATCTCTTATACAAGAGTATTTTGAACTCAGCAGCAGCTCACTTTCTAACTCACATTTGTAATGGATATAACAACATAATATTCTTCTTTATTCATACATGAATGAGTGAAAACCAGTACGGTATAATTGAGATTTTAGAAATTCTAAGAAAGATGTATATTTAAGTCAATATCTCTGTAAAGTTGTGGTGCTTTGTTTCATCTTTAAAATCACGGAATTTCAATTGTTCATTAAAGTAGCGAAAATACATTGTCACTGTCATATAGCCTAAAGAAGAATTATCCTTTCACAGAATTTATAAAATATCACTTCTACGCGTTCCGTTCTGGTGTTCGCCCACTCATATGTGATTACACCATATATACAATATATATTATAAATATTATTATATACAACCCATATGTTATATACAAATTCATATAACTCCGTAAAACAAAATGCGATTAACAAAAATTTATTGTAGTTAAAATTGTTCTTCCTAATACAAGGTGGAAAAGTATTGGAATCACCAGAACTATCACCAATTGTCGGTCGTTTAAAGGTTATCTTGTAACTTCGCTCCAATGTCAACATTGATAACTATTTGTATTGTTCCAAAGATAGTAAAGATTGATGTAGAAGGGCGAGAAGTTAGCATACACACAGTTTTGTTCCTTCAAATCGAGAAGAGGAATATCAAAAATAGGGCCTAAAGAATAATATATCTAAAACTAAGTATCTGAAAGTGAAAGAAGACGAGCTGGAAGATATAGAGATGGACACTGAAAAAATTAAATGTTATACAACATTTAAATATGTAAGAGTCACTTCATCATCTAATGGTTAAATCAATTACGACATTAATAATAAAATTGGATAAGGAAAAAGAGCGACACAGCAACTAAACCCCATTCTGTGGAACGATAAAATAACAAAAAGAACAAAGCTTATTATTTACTCCTCAGTGGTTGCAAGAATGTATCAACCACTACGAACCACGAACCAACACCACAAACTATATATCAATGTCATCTAGAAACAATGGAGGAGTTTAGATGGCCTAAATTGATATGGAAATGGTTTCCTCCCGAGAGAAGAAAACTGGGTCGCCCAGCAAGAAACTGGGCTTAAGATGAACAAGACGCGGTGGCTGCCAGTGGACTACAGGAAGGAGATTGGGAAGATAGAGAAAAATCGAGATCAGGAAGCGAATGACGAATCTAAAGACGTATGTTTGTATGTATGTATGTATGTATGTATATATTTGTATGGAAATATGTGACAGGTAAAACTTTTGGCAGACACTACTAGTCACGAAATTTATTTATTCTTTTTTCTCTTTATTAAAGTATGTGACCCGTAAAATTGTTGTCAGACAGGAAAACTTCCAAAATTTGTTTTTTCCTTTATTTCTCAACTGTTGTAGAAAAAAATAAAGTATTATTTCAATAATTCTGAACAACAGAGACTCTCGCATTGCGTGTTTTAATCGAGAAAATTGTTCACTATTGTGCTGCATCACGGGGCATTACGTACAATAATGAAGAATCAATATCGTAGGGTCTTATTTTGTCATTAATATTTTATGTATACTTGCGTCATAGTCTAGGACGTCAATATCAACTCATTACGTTTTCATTTTCCATTCCCATTGATAAATTATGCTGGATGATAAACAACTTACGACATTACTTGCCAAGTTGTCGAGACATCACACTCTGTAATTATGATTTGCATTATCTATGCAAAAGACAGAATAGTTTCCACTGTTTCGATAAATATTTCCTTCTAATAAACGACTGACTCCACTTGAACGGAACGAGATAATTTAAAGGAGGGAAATATCCAGATTATTTATTCATGCATCGAATCTTACGCCATCTGGCTTCTCATGGCGCAATTGGAAACACCTGTTTTTACCAAACAAGTTTAATTTAATGTGAGAAATATTAAAAGAATCTTAAATTCAGTATCTTAAAATTGTTTACAAAGATATTAAATTGCATTTTTTAAAGGGAGGATTTGTTATTTTTTCAGTTTACTTTATGTAATAATATAAATATGCGTAGATATCTTTAACGTATCTCCAAACCACAATTACTTAGTTCATCTTCTATTTAGTTTTTGATTTATTTACATGACAGATAAAATAGAATTCTTACGAGTAAAAATTAGAAAAGTGATTTTTCTTGTTCAAAAACTGTTTCGAATTCAAAAATCATTGAAAAACATTTAATATACCGCTACGAAACTGAAGCTCAATAACAGTGTAAAACATCATACTACTATAACATTAACATACAATGTAGGCTTTCACGGCCGGTTTCTTCATCATAATTAGTTGTTTTCGGGTTTGTAGGCCGTGGTGGGTCATTTGTCACCATTTGTAAGTCCGTTTGACCACGGCCTACAAACCCAAAAACAACTAATTATGATCATATAACATTATTGATTAAAAAATACAATATGTGGAAGCTAGGATAGTGGGCCTATAGTTGTCAAGTGTTATAGCAGCCCGCGCGACTATCTCGGATTTTGATGAGATGTTATATGTTGAATTCCACAGGTCTGAAAGGAACTTTTGCGATGTTGTAGCTTCATAGGTAGTACTCATTATCAAGTATGTAAACAAATTAAATAATCTTGTAACATTTGAAACAGCATACTAACAAATAACAATAAATAATCTTAGCAATGAATATCATTGCTGAAGTCAATTGAATTATTACATTAAAATTCCAACACTAATTGTGTATTAATTACATTTATATATTTACAGAACAGTTTGTTGTTGAATATTTTAAAAGAATAAAAGGTAAGATTCCATATCCTATGTTTTTCTGTTTATGTTAAAATGTTCTATATAAAATAATGTTTGTACTCTATTATTGTATTTTAGATGTCAACTGCATCTACAAATTTGCACCTGTACCTGATGATGGAGACACGTTTAATCTCCGAAACCTATTACGAGTTAAATAAAACGAAAAAAATTGATTATCCAGGAAAAAACACCGCTACTAGGTGTGCTATCAGCAGGCGCCCTCCGCGTGGGCGGAAGAAGAGCGCAACTATCGACATCGAATGCCGGAGGCGTCACTCAATCTCTCTTTCTTTTCGTTATTCGAGGTCGCATCAACTTCACGGGCATTAGCGACCACTATTGCTTGTAACGGTATGGTAACTGTGAGGTTATAGGTGTTGTGGTAAGATATATTTGGCATTTTTAAAATAATTAAAGATGTTGTCATTGCCAACAAGGCACGAAAGATATCATAGAGGTGAAAGCAGGGATGAATACGCAACACAAAACAACCAACATATGCCCCTAAGGCAGGACCTCGAAACACCGCGCGCTTCCTTCCTTTCCGAGATCACTATGGTTACTACTGCCTGTGATGTCCGGCCCACTGGATCTGATACTGATTTCTTGTTACCTCTACTTCAGAGTGTTTATATCTAAACATCTTAAACGCCCATTATTTTACCATTTTCAATTGAGTGAAACGGGAACTAGCATTCAAATCACTATGAACGTGACATACGGCTTAAACTGAATTTAAAATTTTAAACTGATTTAAAATGCAATTGCTCAAGAGCGCCCAGTAAAAACAAGGCGTATCCGTCCCCTCAATCAATACTGTCCCTGCCATAAGTAAGTTTTAGTTTTGACAAACCATAACAGAATTCAGGAACATATTTCATGCAGATACTGATATTTATAACTACACAACACGTCGAAGAAAATCCACGTTCATCAAGTGATCAGTATCAACAGCTCCTACCCAAATAATTCACATACAACGCAATAATGCTTACAAAAGTTAATTTACAAGCAACGTTTACTTTACAAACGAGTATGGCTAGATTAATATTAAACAATTGGATCGGTACTACAACCATTAAGTTAAAAGTAATATATTTTCTAGAGGTAAGGGCGAATAGTTATTTATGTTACCAATACGAAAATTTCTTATACAGTCACACACACACACACATAACCATACATATAAATATATATATATATATATATATATATAATATCAATATATAAAAGAAATGCTATGTGAAACTATCAAGGTTTCAATAAAAATAAAGGTAGATTTAGAATTATTTAGTCAAAAAAAAACCACAATAAAAACTGTTTTTGACGTAAGAGCCAAGAAGATCATCAGCCGACTTTCTGAGTAATCCAGAATCCTCGCATAATTTTTAACTTATAAAACGTTGAAAGACGAGGAAAAGTATAAAGAAAATAAATAAAAATAAAATTTAAATCGCTAGATTCAGCAACATTTGAAAAACTTAGACATTTTCGTTCTTGTATTATAGAAAACTTATGTTGCAACGAGAACCGAACTGCAAGATTTGATTTTCTGTATTGCTAACAAAATACTATCTCGCGCCTTATCTCACTTCTACACTAAAAAGCAAAGGAGGAGTTCACAAACCGTGCGCGTAGCTAACTACATTTACGCCAGAAAGCAAAACAGGAGGCCATCCTCAGCTTTTGCACCAATGTGATAAGGGAAAGGACAAAAAACATGATCGAGAGTAGGGGCCATTTCACCCGAAGCTGAAATACATTTATTAGTTACAAACATGTTAAAGTCTTTCTCAAAAATATACAATACAAATTAAAAACTAATTATAAATATCACGTTTTTTTTCTAAATAAACATTGTTTTTCTTTTGCATGAGCAATTATAGTCCTGATATATTAGAAAAGAGTTATGCAGGCAGAAAAGATATTACTTTTTAACTTAAATGTGTTACCGCTTCAATTGTTTAATATTATCTGAAATGCGGTAGTTAAAGTAACGTTGCGTCGTAAATTCTCTCCAGTCTTCTCTTCGGTTTCGTGTTAAGTATAAACAGACGGATTCAAGTATTTCAAAATCAAAACCAATAGCTTTATTATAGCAAATGCGCTCACTGCTTGCTGAACTCTACCACACAATTTCCAGAAAGTATCTTCTGAGTTTGATGGAATTGAGAGCTCTAGATTTTATGAATATACAATACCTTTGCTCCTCTATGTGATCTTTGAAGGTTAAAATTGCTCGAATACTTTGAATGGGATGACGTTTTTGGTGTTGAGTGCCATAGCGGTGCGAATTGTCGTCTGGAGGTTGTCGAGTTCGATCATTGCTCCATTTAATAACGCCAAAGGAGTATTGTCAGCACTGGAATAAACAATGGAATTGATGGCCCTGCACAAGGTTTCTGGCTCGTGAGAGTTGAGTTTTTTTAAAGAGTCTCATGCAATCCGTTTAACCACACTCAGTTTATATGTTCTTAGTAACAGTGTGTGCTTATTGAGGATGATGTGGGAACCTTAAATAATTCTTAAGCTTCATGGTTCCGTGAAGGTAAAATCTTTGCGTTTATTTCATTTCTAATTAAATAACTTGCATATGACCCCTAAGGATATATTCACTATCTTTCTGCACTTATCCAAGCCGAATTTCATACTTAATGTCGTCAGTTGAACTTTCCGTTAACTTTATTAGTTACGCATATGACTCTCCAGTTGTATGGCATTAGAGCTTCAGGTCATCCATGTAAAGTATGCGAGATACGAAGAAAGGTTGGAGTTTCCGCTTTTTTAAGAGCGATACTATATAATAAAATGCATTTAGT